GATAAGGTTTTAACTAATTAATTTTTAAGCGTTACTAACAAAACTTAATTTTGCATATAATATCTTCTCCTTTTCAGATAAGTATATCCATAAACACGTAATATAAGAATAAAATGTTGCCTCGCTTTCTTTTTTCCTACCTTAAATCTCGTTCTTAAAATAGGAAGACCTAAACAACCCAGTATCGGTATAAATAGCTTGAAGAAATCTGTTAAGCGTGGAGCCTCAAAAGTTAACGAAGGTTATAAAACTATTTAAATTCCACAGTTTAATCAAACCAACTTAATCGGTAACAAATCCTGGATTGAATCTTGCCGTACACTAATAATAAACTTAGAAATACCCAACGTAAATTTTTAGTCATAGCCATCATATTTCGTTCATTTTTATATTCGAGACCCTCAAATGTATTATAAAAAGGCCTTAAATAGCTTAAAAGAAAAACTAATTTATATAGCTTCTAGTAAGTTTGCTCAATTTTAAACAACAAAATAATATCAACCTACATAGTAATAGGCAAAAATTATTACTTTGTATCTATTATTGTTTTTCCTTTGGTATGATGTCTACGATTATTTTTAATTTTATAGAACCATTCCTTAATAAGTATTACGTAACCTTTTAAAATTTTATCTACTACGGTTACATACAAACCTAAAGTTAATGCATGGTTAGTTATATAATGACCTAAAAATTTATTTTGGAAGCGTTAATTTTTTAAGGTAGTTTTTATTAAATACCATACCTTGCATTTCTTTAAAAAGATCTTAGTGATTTTTTTTTTGCTAAAAGTTACATTCTCAGCTTTAGGTACAAACTTAAACAAGTCGTTGCCTTAAAAACTCTTTCGTAACCCAATAAAAAAAAGTTTTAAAATTGTGTTTGTTTTGACTTTAATAAAGTTAGCTTAGATTGTATTTTTCCTATTAAAAAACAGTGTATTAGTAATTAAAGCTAATGAAATATTGATATCAAGTTATTTTTTGTCTTAACTTAGATTCAAATTATAGCTCTCAATCAAGCATGAACGTTCCACGGGGCTGAAAAATAGTCAAAATATTGGCTTGCGGAACTTTAACCATTTGAACTAGAGGAGAACAAACCACTAAAACTACCACCTGCAGATATGAGCATGTGAGTACCTAATATGAGCGCCAAAGACTGGCGAGCACGCTGTATGCCTGCCTTCTAACCAAAAGTTTATCAGCTTAAAAAAATTCCCCAAATTAGTCTTTACGCTTATTCCCCATTTATATTCTGCAGGAGCTTATAAATGAGCAGTTCAGGGCCCAACTTTTGGATACCGAAAAAAAATTTAGTTCTGTTTATTTCATTAAAGTGCAGTACTTGTAAATTCTTCTTTCCAAGAATTCCAAATTTGTTGCCAACTTAAGTTTTTATATTATGGAACTTCCTCGGCTATCCAGGTTACCGAGCAGAACAGAGTTAAAAAAAGTTATTTTGTTCTGAACTTACTTTTTTTTAGTCTCTTATAAATTTTCAGTTAGGCCAAGATGGTAAAGGGGATTTTAGTTGAAAATGCTTAATTAGTTAAACAGCACAGGTATTATCATTTTTTATTATTATTATTAGTTTGCTAAGCTATGGACACACTCTCATTCTTTTACGAATAGCAATCTTAACAATTGTCTATAATTTTTTTCATTGGCACTAGGCGCTAGGTTATTACTAAATGTAATTAAGTTTTTCGACTACAATTTTTTAATTTCCAATTAAAATAATTAGACCACGATGCCCTTTAAAACTTTTGTGGATTTAAACCGTATCCCTAAGTAAGACTTTGTTTAGCTTTTTAATAAGACCTTTGAATAAAACTTCGAAACATTGTAATCACACAATATTTTACTTATAAGACTGTAGTCCAACGGTTGCGTCAAAGGATCTAAATATTTTAGAAGAAAAGATATTTTACATTATTTTTTGTAACAGGTTAACTAAATAAGGCGAAAAGAATTTCAAAAACATTAAATATATTCTGTGGTCTGTTATAAACCTTTTGTCTGTTTGTTATGTGATAGTTTCAATATGGTAAACTACGACAAGAAGACAATTTCCATATAACTTCACCTACTCTTCTGTTACAGAGGAAACTTCTAAAATTATATGGAGTGCTATAAATTATGCAAGTAGTTGTTAACTTTATAATATAGCGACTTGGGAAAAAAACTCTTGGAGAATCTTTATTGAAACGAAGAAGGCGCCTTCGGCTAGGAGAGGCATTAAAAATGTTGAATTTTTTAAGTACTGTTTGTTTGCCCTCACTCCTGGTATCAATTAAACCTTATGATCATAAAAAGATATAACACAAGATGCTTTATCAAAAGTGGAACAAGTGTTCACATGACCACCATGTGGACCAAACCAAAAGGCCGTTCCTGATCCTTGAGAGGGCTTAATTACATTTACAAAATAGTATTTAATTTTAGATGCGCACGTGCCTTTTTTTCTATAACGAGTCCAATATCCACTCTAACTGCACAGTACGTAAAAAGCGTAAACTCACCGACTCACTCAGCCTTCTTACAAAGGATGCTTAAGAGGTATAAGATTAGGTTACAGGTGCGTTTGCCCCTATAAGTTCGCGATCATTTTGGTTTGTAAAGTTAGAGCTGAAAGATAAGCCCCGTAGGTGCAGTTTTAATTAACTATCGGGTTGGGTCCTATAAAGTTCGTACGTGGTGTCAAGTTACACCGTGAGCAGTAATTGAGTTTTAAAAATAGCTAGTAAAGACTATAATAGTATACTGTAAATACACCAGTAGTTAATAAACTGCTGCTATTGGTTATAATACAGATTGGAATATTTATAAAAACTCAAACACGTTCAAAGACGCTTCCCATGAGGATTTACTTATTACCTCGATTTTCTGTTGTAAACTGATATTTAATATAATACTTTACTTTTTTAATAATTATAAATAATCCATAAAACAATGATAGATTACATGTTTTATTATTATCTAAACATACAACTATCATAATACTATATTTATAGATATTTAAAAATATAACGTAGGGGGTCAGTATATTTATGTTTTATATTATCATAATTTTATTTTATTAATTTAATTTATTCATATATATCGTAAAATAATTTTATTTATACTTGTCCTTGTTTACTAGAGGGTGTTACTCCTTTTTAACCTCCCCTTCCAGTTGAAGGGGGAATAAAGAGCAAGCAATATCAATACGCTAAGCAAATCGACTGTATTATGTAAGTAATATATATATAAATTGATAACATACAATATAGAAGGCAACAATGAAGCCGAAGGTAAGGGGTTTAAAAAATTCGCGTGCATAGACATAAAAAGATAATCTAACAGTCTAAAAAGTTAGCCACAGTTGCGCAACGAGGTTTCCCTCGGCGACCGTATCAGCCTGTTGCCTTCAACTGCCTAAAAAATATTGCATAATAGTAGCATTACTTCTACCCGCCCTATTGACGGGAACCGTACTAAGCAACCACTGCCACTGGTTCTTGTACATTTGCCTAAGAATAAAAGGGCCTGCAGCCTGCGCACTTAAATTATTACCTCACTTCCGAAGAAGAGTAAAACCGATGCAGAGGAGTGACTGTATAGGTTAGTGTCATCGCTTCCGGCGCTTTGGTCACAGCGCACTGTACTATCAGTTTACGCACGTCAATTGTGGGTAAAATATTAAAACACATAATTCATTGTGAGAAGCCTCAAGAGTTGTTCCTTAAAAGCAGTAAAGCCCACGCGCTCTACCCACTGCTGTTTGCAAAAAAAAAAAAAAAGGAAAAAGCACAATTTTCCTGGGCAATAAACTGCGTCTCTACGGTGTACGTGACCCTATAGTGGCTTACGCATCTGCTGGTTGGACATACGGAAAACCATCGACCATTGCCCTCTTGTGACTATTGTCAGGCGCACCTTTTTTCGTATAATGACACGTTGCAAAATGAAACTACTGTTTCTTTTAAACGTATTAGTAGCTATTCAAAACACCAGAGGTCAAGAACTTATATATAAACCCTGGATAGACGCACGCTAACAACGCAAATATAATTTACGCACATATAATTATATAATTGTACGCACGTACGTATGTACGTATAAAATGAGGAATTGTAGTTTGGAAAATAACAAACTGCGCCGAATAATCTAAGTTATTGGCAAAACTAAGCGATCTGAGTTCATACTTACCGGGCATCTGCATAAATTAATAATAAAGAGTTTGCTGAGCTAGTGAAATTTATTATATAACGTGGACGGCATTGAACTAAGTAATTTATTATACCTTAGTCGCTAAATAGAAAAGTGGTCGCCTCAGAACCTTACTTTTTTCTCATAGCGAAGTATTTTCTGATTTTTTAAAGTTCTAGTATTTAGTTCTGTTTAACCCTCGTCTCGTTCCATCTTAGTTGTGCTAAACTCGATTCTTTGTTTGAAATCTTTTGGTAAAACCTCTTTTTTTGATTTATCTTTTGTTTCGTTATCAACTATTTAGTTTATACATATCGTGTCTTAATATTAAGGAAACTCATTATCCTACGTTTTAAGTTTAAATAGTTTAAAGTTTAGAAAAATATAATAATTTGCTATAATACGTATACCTCATACCCCTATAAACTGGAGACTTGTGTCATGTATTTAAAGTTTTGTATTTCGTGTTAAGTAGGTGGCACCCTTGTTAAAGAAATTTAAACAGGTTAAACAACTTAAAGAAATTTAAACTTTTCTTTAGCGTTTTTAGTTTAACTTTATATTAGCGCGCTTTAGTCTTTTTTTTTCTTATAGAGACCAAATATAAACTATAATATTTTTAAAGCGTTTTGGGACGACTTAAAATAGGATTACACACCTCGCGGTTCTTGTCGCCACAAGGAGATGGCGAGGAGGCCTAATCTTTACTCTTAATAATTTTTATAAAATAATTTGACTTTATTACCTCCCTCTTATAAGTTAAAAGTCAAAATTAGCTTGCAATGTTGTATATTATGTCTGGAATAATTCAATGAATTATATGACAGCAAACTTTATTTGTCGACGAATACAAAATAACTACTAGAAAATAATATTAATAATTACTCATAATAGTGTTCAAAGTGGGGCGTACATAAAGACAGCTAGTTAAAAAAATTATAAAATTTGGATTGGGATGTTTTAGCGACTGAAGAGGGGCTCAAACTTTTACAACCCTAAATGCGTTAATATTTGATATTTAATTAACAATATAGCAAATCAATACAAAATATACACTAAAACAAGTGATACCTTTAATAAGATATGTTCTACTTTGAAGTAAGTTTATGATACTCTTTCTCTTCTCTTGTTTCAATCACAGATTTCCTAGAGTCCAAGTCCTTTTCCTGAGAAATGAGGCCTTCTAACTTATAACCTATGAAACCAATCGTCAAAGTAAGGGGCAATAAAACGATTTCAAAAGCTTTTAAAGTCCCCCCCCGGGACAATAGTTTTTGCAACAGCGAAAAAAATGCGGAGTACATCCTCCACGCCGAGCCAAGGGCAGTCTTTTGGTATTCAGCTAGCCAGATCCTTATATGGTTAAAGTTCTTCGTGCCCCACCCGATTTTGATTTAAAGCGAAGCATAAGTCGGGTACTGCTATTTAAGGGATTTTCATTGATACCGCTAACTTGACAATGAGACACTATTAGAAGTAAAAAACCCATATGAACTTAGACGATATATTATGAAAGTTCAGTTTGTAGGATAAATCTTTACCTTTAACTATGGAGATAATTATATTTAAACCTTCCGCTTCTGCATAGATTAAGTAATCATACTTAAATAAAGGTAAACAATGTATGAATATTTTGTGTAGAATTTGTAGGTTTTTTTATTGAAAATTTTAGAATTATTTCTATTTTCTTATTAAAAATTTTTTTACCTCAGCTGTAGAACAAGCATAAAATTTATATTTTCTCCCTAACATTTAAACAAATGGTAACACTCTAGTTTGTAGGAAAGTGAGCTCTTTTATAACCCAAAGTAACGTTAAAAACCTTTAAAAACTAATAAAGGGGTATTTAAAAAGAATTATAAACTTTAATTAAAAAATTTGAATGCTTAATACATACATTTTTTAGGTAATTTTCTAGAGCCTTTATTTAGAGATTAATGTTATAATGATAAGAGCATCGTAGCAATTTAAACTTCCGATAACTAGATGAACCTAGATTAACTGTGAAAAATGAACCTAATTATAATATTTTTCCCCCAAAGGAGTGTCTTATGGTAGTGAAACCTATTACGAAATTATTTACTAACTTTTACATTTTTCTTGACTATTTTATAAAAGTGAACACTTTGCTGTGTAGATGCTTCCCAAGGGGAGAACCTTAAAACTTCATTGGAGAGTTCTTCTTGGTTTAAATTAGCAGTGTCGACCTCGAGAAGATTAACTAAACTAAAAAGCTTGCTTAATGAGTGATACGAAAGTCAATTAATATCAGAGATAAGACATTCGGTATAGTTAGAGAGAAGTTTGAAAAGTAGATAGGTTTCTGCTATATATTAATAGCATAATACTTATACACTGCTTCCATTTAGGTAATTTACGGTCTCCAAAAGGATAGCACCAAAGGAGAAGTCGACAATGGACAAATAGAAATATGTTCTAAAATGATCAACTAAAGAAACCTGCTTGATTAGGCGCTATTCTTCTATAATATGGAATACATTTAGGAATCTTACTTAATTAGAGATCTTAGGTTGGTATATTTCCTAAATTTTTCTCATTTTTATAAGTTTGTTAGGTCGACTAAATGGAAGGTCAGGGGATTCTAAACGGTCAGTTGCATTTTCCCACTCGTGATGCAAAAAAGGGCACTTGAAATTTACGTTGCTAATGTGTTTACCATTGCTATAACTTAGAAATCTTTTTAGCAGCAATTAACTCTTATAACACGATAGATTATCTTTTAAAGGGTTAATGGTTTACAGATAATAGTAAATAAATAAAAATTATTAGTCTACATTCAGTCTACATTTTTGTTTTATTGATTTTCTTTTTGTTCTTTTTATACTTCTATAATTTCATATATATCTAATTTAATCACTCTATTTTGTTACACAACCTGACCTGTAGGAAAGCTCAAGTAGCTAAAGTTTTTGACTTGCTACATAAAGTTAATGCGTAGTACTGCAAACTACGGGGACCATTACGTTTTGCGCTCTTTGTTGCTCGAAGTACCTTAAAGTTTGTTGACACGAGCGAGCACCAAGAAAAAGCCACTTGCAAATATACAAATGAATGGAGTCAGAACGCAATCGAATATTTATAACTTAAGGTAGAGGCGTTAGCAGTCCGTCTTGAAGCTAATAACCCTTCGAATAAATTTTTCTCTTGTCAAGAAAGCTTGCTTTAATATAAACTATTATGTTCTCAACAATGTCAATAAAGACATGATGTATTGCTCTTTTGTTTATGTCAAAGAGGATGCTTCCGAAAGTACTTTTAAGCAAGCCCTTAGAGTATAATACAATTATTATTATAATTAAATAGAAAACACAAAACTTAGCTAATTTATGCTTCTTTGAAGCTTTTAAAAAGCAAAGGTTTCTCAATTAACTTTGTCACACGGGAGAAGGTTATAAAATCGATTGAAAAAACTAAAAACACAGCTCTTCATGTTTACATACTTAAAAGTTTAACGGGTATATACTAGTAGATCTTAAATTTTTGTAAATTTATAATTTAGTTTTAAGTTATTTTTTTTTAGATCCACTGTACAATATCTTGCGTCGACTTAAAATTCCAATTACGGGGCCAAAGTTCATTTTAGAGTTTTTTAGAAAAAACATACCTTTCAACGAATCAGTTAAAAAGTTTATCAGTAAATGATTAATTTTTATTGACGATAAAAGTTTTACAGATTAATTCTCAAGTGTTTAATTTTTGCTAATAAGTTTATAAATTTTATAAAGGAAAAATACTTATTTTGGGTTATAATTTATTTTTTGTTTTTAAGAAAATAGAATTTCTATTTAGTGTGGATTTTCATGGATTTCTTGTGTGTTGCTCTGGATTTGATTATCGAAAAAAGGTTTATAAACTTTGTTCATACGCTGTTAACAAGTTAATGGGAACTATTGTTAGCACTTTTCAGTATATTGTAGATCAAAATCTCAGAAATCTAAGAAAATTTTAATTTTACTTTTATATAATTTTAATATTTGTTTACAATTTTTAACAATTAAAACATTTTTAATTGTTTTTATTTAAATTTTTAATTTTTTTTAAACGTTATTGCCTAAAAAACTGCACAATACCGGGGTTTCCGCAATTACGTTGCTCTCCCCTATGCATTACAGCCTTTTGGGCACAGTTTTACCCCGCAAGATTTTTTTTGTCTAATTAATATAGAGAGATTTTTAATTTATTATCGATTATCTTTATTAATATTTAAAACTTTTTTTTTTTAATTAGGAGCGCCTTCATGATATCGTTGTGCGAAAGGGCGGAAAATTTTCGCGGGTGTTGATGAAAAGCTGCACTCATCTCGTCAGCAACACGAACTTTTCTCAGAAAGCAAAAGTTTGCAAGCACTACTTTTTATTTTCAATTAGAAAATAAAAAAAATTGTTTGCAGTAATTTGCAATAGTAATTACTAAACTTCAGATGGCAAGAAAGTATAAAATTCCCGTTTATAACGAGTCATGGCTTCTCGCCTTTGGAGGGAGTGAGGAGCTCTATAACTCGTATTCTTTGCCTTTATTTTCAGGAGCCAAAGTTTGCACGTCGGGACTCTCTCGTTGGCTTTTTTAATTTCAGGGCTTTACTTTATTGTTACTTTCAAAACTGTTAGAGATGCAACGGAAACGTTTAGAAGAAGTGATCACGAACTATTCTGGAGAATTGGGTAATTGCCTCATTTCCATGTAGTGAGCGTTGTTTATTTCCTTACCGCTGCGCGCAAGTCCCGTGCAGTAGCGAGTGCACACACCTGGTAACCACGGGGACCACTGGTTTGAAGTTTGCTTTTGCCCTCAAAAACAACATCAGAGTTGTTCTGCCCCAGTGGATCTTCGATTCCGCTGCGGCCTCTAAGTTTGTATACATCTATTAATTTATGTTATTAATTATAAATATTTTTGCCTTCAGTTTATTGGATGAAGCGGATTATGTCGTCCAACCAACTTGTGAAAATCTTACCAACGAGGGCCTGCAAGAGTGTCGATTTGGTAATTTCTTAAGACTCTGTCTATATTATTATTATTTTGTTGCATTGCAGAATTTCCATTGTTGCATGAAAAACTGCTTTCTTCAATACTTCGTGATAAGTTGACGCACTTTTACGGCTGTTTTGTTTATTTCAGCGGTTTTAAAGAAAAAGAGCTGCTCATGCTCTTTCGTAAAACTTTGCGGGCCGGTGGAGGTTGTTTTCTCAAAAAGTCTTCTGATTATTGTAATTGCTACGGCTACTCAGGCGTATGTCTCCCTCGCCTTAATGACCACGTCACACACGTGGCGGTGGGCGGCCTCAACTTCAGTGACATGCGCTATCTTCTTTCTATGAAGGAAATTCCTATTGTTATTAACGCAAATTGGGTAACCTTCAGATATTATATTTATCAATACTATTAATTAATGTTTATCAGATCATTGACAGTTCCGTTGAAAAAAGTTTGCTCTCCACAACGGCTTATGCCTTAACAATACAACAACGCAGCGATGAACTTTTTTATGTTTCGGAGAGAACAAGTGTTCAGCCCCAAGAGGAGAGGATCACTCCTTCTTTGTTCCAAAGAGTTCTTCTTGGCACTAACGAAAACACATGAGTAGAGAGGAAATAATTGCTACAGTTGTTTGGTGTTAGAATAAATTTTCTACTTGTTTTATGTTGGCTGTTAAGTGTATTTATTTAGCAACTTAAAATATTAATTTACTAGGAAAATTTAGTACTATGGGTTGGCATTCTTACAGGTGCAGTTAAAAACATATGAATAACTTCGATAGCAAACTGCGTAATACGTTTTAACACTAACGTTGAAGTAATATTAGTTAACATAATAATCCTACGTCCTCTTATATAACTAAACAAGATAAGTTAAGAAAGGCTGTAATGAATCTAAAAAAGTGAATTATTTTCAAAGTGACTTTCATACGATAACTGAGCAGCATTTTTGTAAATAGTCAATTTCTCTGGTAGTACAGACAAACTATAGTTCGAGCTAATAAATAAAATTTAGATTATGGCTACAAAGTATGGCCAGTATCGCTTTTTTATTATCAAAAATCTTATTAAGTAATTTTTACACACCGAAAGAAGAGCTTATAACTCGAAAAATTAAAATTAAAGGAAGAGTAAACCTCATGTAGGTTTTCTTACAACTTTGCGTTTAGTTATTGTTCCCAATGGAGTAAGTCCAAAAACATAAGAATTTGAAAAGAAAAAAGGCACTTTTTTCTGTTTCAAGAGTGCTCGTGACCTTATTCAAAACAGTTGTGCTACATTGACGCGCGCTTGGAAAGCTCTCAACAGGGTGTTAGCATACACAATAGCTTTAAGCTTATGTCAAGTCGTCTCATATATATATATACTCTTAAACTCTTCTCGCATAGTGTTCGACAATATCCCATACAGAGAGCTAGCGAAGATTGTAAGTATTTTTTATTAACAGGTATTTACTATTATCACTTACTTTCAAGCGCACGTTAGTGACCATAATATCTCCCATGAGGAATATCATGACTATTCTGATTTTCTAGCCTCCTGGTCGCCCATCACAGTACTTACCAAGTTCCTGGAGATTTGACTTTTCAGATCGGAAGGGTTGAAGTGCTCTTCGCGAGTGCGCTCTCCCTCATCTCTTAAGCTGCGTCATTGGCTGGCTTATATATATGTTTTTTGTATATGAACTCTCATTAATTTATGCGACATTCATTTGCTACACATAAGTCAGAAAATCTAGTTTTGGACAATTGTTAGAGTTTATAATTCTTTCGTAACTCAAGATTTAAATCCATGTGTCCAGGCATCCGGAAACTTGTTTAGCTGCTAGTGTGGGTTTCCATAAGCTTCAAGGTTTGTGCCAGCTTAATTCCGAGATAGCAATATCTGGCCTAGGGAAGCTTGTGAGATTGTGCAAGACTTTTAATAATTCTTTATAAGGGCAATTACGTGTAGTGTAGCCCAAATTTTTAAGGGATTCATTTCTCAAAGGACTTATCGAAGACTTTGCTGTAGCTATTCCACACTCTTGTAAGATTTAATTATAACTATTGGTTCCAAATTAAAGATTTAGGGACCAAAGTATTAATTATTAAGATACCAAAGTTTTCATTTGACACTTCCTTTAGATTAAAGCCTATTAATTTAAAAAATATATTCGTGTCTTTACAGCATTGTTAGTAAAACACTTGGATCATCCACATATATAAGCAAAGGAATCCACTTTCATTGCTGTAAAAGACGCATGATGCCATTGGTTAAAACCTATGCCCTTCAGTTCAAATTTAATTAACTCATGCAATTAGTATCCAACTTGTTTTATTACATATAAAGCTTTGTGATGGGATAGACACTTATTGTAAGTTTCGCCTATAAAAATAAGCTCAAACCTAATAAGTAACTTTACCAGCATATTTACATCCAAGTTGGAGTAAATTTAAGCAATATTAAAATCAACTTGTGGTTGTCCAAAAGCATACTGATGAGCAAGTACTAGGGTAAACGAATCGTTTTTACATAAAATTACTGGGCCCTTAGGGTCATAATGAGTAATGCGGTGAACCTGAGAAAAAACCTTTCAAACGGAGTCCTGATCTATAAGTCTTGTCTTCTTTAATTTTGTAATGTCATTTGATGCCTTTAAAATAAGTTTCTGTTGATTAGCAGCTGCCCTATTTCCATTCTTCTTCGAACATAGACGAATGGCACTTTTTTTCCCATCTAATAAGGCTCCTTGGGCGCTATTTGGTACATACTTTTCGTTAAAGTTAGAGGTTTGAATTCAATAAAAAAATCTAATTATAAATTGCTCCCTCATCACTAAAGTTGCCTTATATCTATTTCTTCAAACTTCTAACACTGTACCATAACAATTTTTCATTGTTTTAAATTCTACTTTAACTCGCTGACCAGGTGCAAATGGCAAGCTCGGGTTATTAGTGTCAAAATCGAGCTTTATTGGTTAAGGTGAGGTACTCTATATCCTCTTTATCTTCAGGTTCTGTTCTTCTTCCTCATTACTACTTTCAGAGGGGCTGCTTGTTTTAGACCTTTGTTATAGGAACTCACTACTTATCATTAATAAGTGAGTTAAAATGTGATTCTTTGGTATAAGTCGCAGAGAGGATTTCCCTAAAAATTCTACTTTGGATTAGTTTATTGGTGGCGGTACTACTGATTCGGTAACATTTTCTGCAGGAATTTAAGTATGATCCCATTGAATTTCTTTGCTGCCATTTTTAACACCTTATAGATTACTGGCTACTAGGTTTACCACTTGTCGCCTAGGTTCAATTTGCAAAAGTAGGTCTATGGGACTTTACCCTAAACAACAGACTCGGTCTCTGAAAAAATCTCTAGTAGGTTTAAGTACCATGTTTAAGGGATTAGGCAGTAACTAACAAAACATAAAAAAGTGATAAATTTAGTTACCAGTAAAAGTAAAACAAATCTATTTTAAGCCCCAGAGTTTTGGCTGTTAAAGGGTTAAAAGATTCCCACACTTAACATCATTAAAGATTACTTGCGTACCAAAATTTTCTAATTTTTCTAAAGTCGGGATCAACATGGTAAAACTTTTCCCAGGAATTTGGTGTTGATTTAAAACAAGAGCAGCGTAATCCTGGATTCAGCCCAAAAGTTACTATAGGTAAGATTCGTAACTAGAAGTATGGCCTTTGGTCATGGATCTTAATAAACCATTTTATCGCTCCTCAATAATGTTGTGTGAAGATGTGTTCGGCGCTGAGAAGGTAGGAGTTAAACCTCTGATTTTTCACATTGAAAGCCATGCGCTGGAGGTAAACCCCGTACTATCGTCCGAGTTCCGAGCGAATTTTCCTTACGTCATACCTATTATCCAGTATAATATCTAGAAAATTGCCACAACAACTGAAAAACCAGCGTTATAGCTCTTGAATACTACCAATACATACCTCGGCCGTTTAAATTTAATATTAACAGCCCATTTAGCTTCGTTCAATGATAACTGTTAAGACCCGTGTTAATCAATATCCAGTTCTTTACATATACTAAGAGAGGAATAATTATTACTGACCGGACTTTCGACCTTTTCTTTCTTTTTATTGACTTTGTTACAAATAATACAATATAGATTATCTTATATCTTTATATTTTGATATCATTTCTTTTAAAGCTTTCATAACTCTAATGGGTCCAATGTGATCCAATATTTTATGCCCTTCCAGTTTCGATCTAATGTAATAAATCCCGTCGTAACGTCTTTGGGTTCTCTTCTGATGCTCGACAATAAGTAAATAATCAGTAAACTTTTTTCATAGTCACTGATCCATTTTGCAGTATTATAATTCAAAAGTAATGCTTGTTACATATTTACCGACGCTTATTAAATTAGAGTCGATTAGGGGATAAGTAAAGTCTCCAGTTATTGGATACATCTTTTCTAGTGGTCTGAACGGTTTTTTTTTCGGAATGCTTTGTACAGGCTCGACAATAGGCCTGCAATTTTTAATCAGATTTGCATCGTTAAATATATGGCAGCTGTAGCCAGAATCTAATATATTCCTGTTATGTAAATAAGAATTTGTAGAAGAAATATTTATCTTGTTGACGAAGGTGGAAAGTGGTATGAAATGCGGATTTATCTGGTATAAGTACGTTATATACTTTTAATTAGATTTTGCTTTGCGCAACATTCGACCTTCAAGGAACCAGATTTTTTCGCATCTTGCACAAGCTTATATTCGAGCATAAAAAATTACCAGAGAAGATGATTTTTCTCAAAACATTATTATTAGAACTATACCTTTTATAATATTTCTTTGGATGTTTAGTTAGCCTTTATCACATGCTTCGAAGCTTTAAGGGAACCGTCAACCTCGAAGTTACTGACTTGCCAGGCCTACGCTATTTCATTGACAGAACTAAAAGTTATCTTTCCAAAAATTTTCTTTTGCATCAGCAAACTGCTTTTAAATAAACTTCATATGTCATCATTCGTAAAAGCAATAACAAATTTGTCAAATTTCACGTCTGTGATTAAAACGATATTGGAAAGAGCCTCTATCCTTTTAGCCAACCATTTATTCTCTTATTGAAATTGTACTGTTTTGAAGATTTCCCTCGGTAACCAATTTTAAAGGCTTAAAACTCTAGTAACTTGCTACGATGGGTATTACTGGCTATATTTGAACTGGCTACCACCATATATATATACTTAATAAAAATTTACACATCTTAAGTTCGCTTCCTTTGGGCCTTGGTTTACCTCCCTAACTATTTGTCGTTTACTCATTTGTAATATAAGTTAATTTACACTTTACTATTATTATTATTATTTAATGATATATTATCCTTATATAATAGGGGCAGAATACATATAAACTGCTATTCCTAATATGCTTGATAGACTTAAGTATTATTTTAATTCAATTAATACATATAAGAATAAAAGCGTACCGTAGTATATTATATATTATCACTTAAATTATTTTATTATTATAATTATAGTTATTATTTACCGATCTTATTTCCTTAACGTATTTTATTCTAATAATTTTTGATAATAAAATCTATTTTTTTTGTTTGGTTGTTTCTGTGTACTTCTTTCTTCTTATAATTTGCCCA